GCCTCCCTCTGCTGGTCTGCCGAGCCAAGATACAGCTCTGTGGCAGCTTTAAGGATGACATGGATGGTATCTACTTGCTCCACTGGCTTCCTCTTTCTTAGAGACAGAAGCACAGGGAGTTATTTCTGAAGCCCTGGCTCCCCTGCATGCCAAGAGAATAGACCCACTACAGGAAGTATTTGTAAATTCCAAGCTCAAATTGGCAGCAACTTCTCAAGTGCATTTTTTGGGAGATTGCTGTATTTCACTAGCAATGTGAAGGAGGGTACACAAAATATTAAAAGGCATTTTGCGGCATCCAGAAATGAGTATATCAAGGCCAGATTTCTTTTATTCAGTACTGTCACAGCACTGCAGCAGCCTCCTGGAAACTCACTCCCTAGAAGATGAGCCAGATCTGAAGGCTGCATAGAAAATTCACAGGTGTGAGTTAAGGCAGACCCAGGACTGGTTAATTCCAATCAAGGATTATTTTATTCACTTTTATTCCAAAAGTGATCCTCAGATTGTGTTGAAGAATAATGCCCAAACTCAACAACATAAGGCAGAGAGACCTAAATTCTCTACCTCATATTAATGATCAGTAAAAGATTTTTCATATTTTGGATTTTCCATGCAAATGGAAAGAAAAATCAAGACTAGATAGATAGATAGATAGATAGATAAAGGAAGACAGAAATATAGAAAATCATTACAGGCTAAAGAAGAATAGCACATTCCATGTCTCAGATGCAAGTCTCAGGGTTAAGGAACCCTGAACATTCATGGAATCATGAGCCTCTTAGTAAGGTGGACTATGAGGATATCAGAGGAAAGAGAGGAGTGAAACCCGGGAACAGTTAACTGGAAGCTAGTACTTCCCTCAAGCATTTCAGAAGCACTTAGAATCCCATTCCCCTCCACACACACAACACAGTCTAAGTTCCTTGGGTAAGAAATTATTCTCTTGTTCACTAATAAGTTTCCAAGCAACAAGAACAGTCCCAGGTATACAGTAGGGGCTGAATAAAACTTTTTGAATGAATAAACAATGTTTTCAGCCATTGCTTTGATGTATCACTTTTAAAAATGGATTAAGTGATCAATAAACAATAACTGCCATTGTCATAATTAGTACTTGTGTCTGGGAGTTAAAATGTGAATCCCCAGCAAAAAATTTGTTAGTTAAGTGTTCCAGGTATCCCTGTTTGTATGACTTAAATTGCGTTTTAATTAAATACAATGGCATGCAATAAAATGAACAAATCTTGTAGCATAGCAGGATGCATTTTGAGAAACGTTCAAGATAAAAAATAATCACCAGCACTCTAAAAATCTCTCTGGGCCCCTTTTCTCTCCATCACTCTCCCCTACACAACCAGCCATTATTCTGGTTTCTAACCCCATAGACAACTTTTGCCTCTTCTCGAACTTCATATAAATGGAATCCTACAATATAATCTTTTGGGTCTGTCTTATTTTGTTCAACGTAATGGGATTTGAAATTCATCCGTGTTGTCAGACCTATGAATAGTTCACTTCTTATTACTGAGTAGACTTCCATTTGATGAATATACCCTAAATTATTTACTCATTTCCTCACGAATAGATACTTGAGCTGTTGCTGATTTTTTGTACAAGTGTAACATGTTGGATGTATATTTATATTTCTTTGGTATAAATAACCAAGAATGGAATTGCTTGATCATAAGATGTGTGCATGTTTCACTTTATAAAAAGAAAAAATAAACTACAACACAATTTTCCGTGATGGGTGTAATTTTACCTTCCTACCAAGACTATATGCAGAAGACTCAGTTGCTCCACACTCTTGCTACAACTTGGTATTATCATTATTTTTATTTATAACCACTTCACAGGTATGAAAGAGCATCTTCACTGCAGCTTTAGTTTGCATGTTACTGATTATCAATGATGTTAAGCATATATTTTTGCCTATTTAAATAATATCTTCTGTAAAGTTTATAAGTAAATTTCCCACTTTAGTTGTGCTGTTTCTCCTTTTGTTATTGATTTGTAGGCAGGTTTTTTTTCACATATTTGAGATATGGATACTTTGTAACATATATGTATTAACATTTTCTTTCAATTTGTACCTTGCTTTTTCCACTTTTAAAATATTTTTTACATGGCAAAAGTTTTTAGTTTTGATAGAGTACAGTTTATTATCTTTACTGTTTGTCTGATACTTTTTGCATTCTGCTTAAGAAATCTGTGATCCCCTCAAACAACAAAATATCTTCCTACGCTGTCTTCTAGAAACTTCATAATTTTCATTTTTACATTTAAGCCTATAAGTATTTCAAGTAATTTTCTGTATATAGGTTGAGAAATTGGACAAGGGTTATTAGTTTTCTATGTGACTATTTAGTGGACTTAATACTATTTATTAAAAAGGCTTTTCTTTAGCCTGTTCTCATAATAATTCATCAAAAATTATTTAAATGCACATTTGTGGAGCTATCTTAATTACTTCATTAAATGAGATATTATCTATAGGCTTTCCATAGGCACCTTTTATCAGATTGAAGAATATGCTTCTTTATCATGAAGGGATATTGGGCTTCCTTAAATGTGTTTTCTGTATCTATTGAGATAATCCTATAATTTTCTCCTTTTTTTCTGTTCATATAGTAAACTACATTGATTTATTTTTAATGCTAAACCAATATTGTATTCCTAAAATAAAACCCACTTAGCCATGATGTATTATACCTTTTAAAATATATTGTTGGATTCTGACTAGAAACATACTGGAAAACTTTGTGTATATTGGCATTACTTCTTTGTTAGGTGTTTGATAGAATTCACAGTGAAGCCATCTGGACCAGAAGTTTCTCTTTTTTCTTTTTGTAAATGAGGTTTTTGTTACATGTTCAATATCTTAGCAAATATGAAGCTATTCTGATGGTTAATTTCTTCTCATATCAGTTTTACATTTCTTTTTTTTAAATTTTATTGGTACATTTTATTGGTACACTTTAGGTATACAATTCATTTACATTTATCATTGGGTGTTTGTACCTGTACATGATATATCTTGGTTCTTATTTTTTTCCCCATTACCTGTGCACCCTTCACCCCCTCCACCCTTCCCTATTTACATAGATTTCATTTCCATTTTTTTCTTTTCTCATAGTTTTTCCTTTCCCCTACCCCTCCCTTCACTCCTTTGTCTTTGAACCTTTTTTCCTATTTCAAATTATCAATTATTCATTTTAATCATTTTAACTCTTGTTTACACTATCAGTTTCTCACACTAGTGAAACTTCGATATTTACACGTGTGCTGTAGTTTTAAGTGAAATAAATAGTTTTATGTTTCTTTAAGGTATTTGTCTATTTTTCCCACATTGTCAAATTTGTTAGCATAAATTTTTTCTAGTATTCTTTTATCACATAGGATCTGTAATTTCTTGTTTTAATATTGGTTTTTTTGTTTTCTCTTTTCATTGTTCCTTAATATTATGAATTTTATTAATCTTTTCAAAGAACTGGCCTTTCACTATTTTTTTCTATAGCTTCCATTCAATTTTGTCAATTTTTGCTCATATTTATTATTTTTATCTTCTACTTCATTTAGATTTATGTTTCTCTTCCTTATTTAGCTTCTTAATTTAGAAGCTTAAATTATTGACTTTATGTTTTCTTTTTTTCATTATAAGTATTTAAAGGTACAAATTTCCCTCTTAGCACATTTTCAACTTTGTTCTTCAAATTTTGTTGTAATATCATGTGTTTTCATTATCATTCTATTCAGAGTATTTTCAAACATCTTTCTTGTTTCTATTTTGCCCTACAGCTTATTTAGAAATATGTAACAGTTTCCAAACATTTGAGGATTTTCTAGATATATTTTTGTTAGTGATTTTTATTTAAGGCTGCTGTGGTCAAAGAGAACATTATGCAAAATTCCAATCCTAATTATATCGAGACTTGTTTTTTCTTCCAAATCATAGTCTACTTTGAGGGTTTTCTATGTACTCTTGGAAGAATATGTACTTAATAGCTGTTGGATGTAGTGTGCAGTTTTCTTATGCATCTTCTTCACTGTTCCTTTACAGATATCTGTCATTGTCTCCCTAAGGTCAATGCATCTGTTTGAATATTACTTTCTCCTGATTCTAGTTAACTATATTATGTCTCCAACACTACATCCTATATTTTCCTCTCCTCTGGGATCTCCCAGGTCTCCATTTGATGTGCAAAGTAAAGGTAAATCTCAGGATGCTAAAATAGTTTAGAAGTCAGCCATTGCTTGTCAAAGAAGACAAGATAACAATATAAGCTACCTTCTTGGTTGATTTGTTGTATTCTTTATGTGATACTGTGGCTAATAATTTGAGAGTTGATTTATGGAAGGATGTAGAGTACACCTGGGACAGATATTGTCATTAAATGTATGAGACCATCTGCAAATTCCTCATAAGTTTCTCCTCTGACTCAGGACCTGGGATGATTTTTTTCTTTGCACACTAATTTCTGACATTTTTCAAAATTAATATGTATGTACTTGGACATGTGCTTTACAACCTCTCACTCCAACATATGAAGTATAGAAGTGATACACTTAAGTCTTGAAAAAGATTACTTATAAGACTAATTTAAATGAAAATACAGGGTCTTTGGCCAATAAGTTAAATGAGGAAAATGGTACACATTTAGGAGATTTAGGCAAACTGTTATATAGTCAATACTTGCTACTATAATGGTGCAAACCAAATTTGACTGTCTTTAAATCATCCTAAATCTCCAGGATCATTCCTACTGGCATTTGAGAGCCAACATAGCATACAGAACACTATTACAAGTTCACCCAGGTAAAGAATCCCAGTTGCACCTTATGATAGTTAGTATTGCTGTTCTAAGAAAACCCTGCCCTTGATTTTCAGATGGAGCCTGGAGCAGCTCTGCAGGGTCCGCTCTGGGAAAAGGTGTAAGCTGGCCTTTTCTCCCCATGCTTTCTGCCCTTTCCACATTCCGCATGAAAAGGATGCTCACCTTTTCCCACTCTCGATCTTTGTTCAGCACGATCACCACCAGCCTAGGGTGCACCTGATAGCCTTCCTCAGTAAAGGACAAGTCTTTGCCATTCCACGTCACATTGACCATAAATCTAGACAGAGGAAGAAAGAAAGACAAATTTTTAGAGGAGAATTAAAGAGGTGCCAAACAAATGCACAGATGCCACCATCAGCATCACCTTGATGGTGTCCTCATACAGAGCCATTCTCGTCACATGCAGCCCCCATCTGTGGAAGGATCCGTACAAGGCAGGCTCTGCATACTCACTACCCAGGCCCTCTATGCCACATGCCTGGACTCCTTCTCAAGATCTTTGATCCTGTGCAGGCATTAAATAGAACATTTCTGTCCTGCTAGGTTCACAGATATGTGTTCAAATGATCTGATAGATAAGCATATTCTAAACTGCCTTAACAAGCTCCCCTGAAGAAGCTGCTTACTCATAAACTACATGGCATTTGACTTTGAAAAAATGCTATTCCATCTATTTATCATTCATTCAACTGGCATATTTTAAAGCATTCTTTACACGCCATTGCCTAGGTGATTGGAAAAGAGACATGATCCCCTGACCTTATGAAGTTTGCAGTCTAAGAGAAAAGACAGGTGTTAAATGATTAGCCACAGACTGATGATGAATGCTACATGGAAAGTAGGATGTGCTGTGTGAAAGTGAAATAGGGGTCAGGCAAGGTTAAGGAAATAAAATTTGACCTGAAAGATGAGTCAGCATTAAAACTATGTAAGAGACAATATGCAAAAGAGACAATATGCACAAAGGCACTGTGGTGGCATATATAAGGGACTGGATGCACAGCAGTGAAGCTAGGGCAGAGAAAGACAGGGAAATATGGTATTTGGTGAGGCTGAAAATATGAATGGAAGCAGATAGTATAGAGTTTTATAGGCCATGTTAAATTTTTTCTTTGTCTTATAACAACAGGAAGACATTAAAATATTTTAACCAAAAGGTGGCATAATCATAGATTTGTCTTATGTCAGATTGTGCAGAGAATGGATTAGAGGGAAACTAGAATGGATAAGGGGTACTATTTACAGGCAGTACTATTGTTCTTGTAATCAAAGTGAAAGACAATGATGGCTTTGACCTTTGTGGTGACCAAAGTAGAGATGGAGGAAAAGGAAGAGAACAAACAGGACTGAGTGGAAAGATATTTAGCTAGATCAGATGTGAGGACCAGGCAGAGAGAGGCATCAAGGATAACTCTTAGTATCTGACTCATGCAACATCCATGCCACCAACTTTTAGCCTAGGTGCTATCCTCAAAGATGAAATGTACCCATACCACTCCTCAAAGGTACCTTCCCTGTGGTCAGACTGGGCTCAGCTAGGGAGAAAAGGCAGAGCTCCTCTCCCCAGATTTGAGTGAGAAGGTTCCCAAGGGGATCATAACTCTTTGCATCTTGAGAAAAATGTGATGTTAAGGACGCCCACGAAAACACGGCAGTGGCCACATTGCAGACACCCAATAAAACATAGTATAGTGCACTACGGCGTTCGTGACTACCCCAGAAAGACAGCGCACCTTGAAACCATTCCATTTTCTTGCTTTATTTTCCCTTCCCTCCAAAAGGAGCTTACAAAGTTCCAGAAAGGCTGTAAGGAATAAGATTGTCCTAATGGGCCACACGTTTACCCTGGCCCCTCACAGTGCAGAAGAGTGTGACCATGACGCCTGAGAGAGAATCAGGACACCAAGGACATGGTGAGAAAATTGGGGAAAAGGCAAAGGTATCGTGTCTCCATTCAAAGGACTATTTGGGTCATTAACAATCATGTTTTTGTCACATTAACGGCATGAAGAAATTGCCCACTATCTAATGTTAAACAAGCAGAAAAGAAGATAAAAACAAAGGCTGTCTGTGCATGGAAAGATTACAGGTATTTTCCATTTCCATTTGTGTGTCTTTTTTTCTCCAAATTCTCTGCAAAGCCTTTAGCCAAGAGAAAAAATAAAATACTGCTATTCTAGAAGGAGCAAATAGTGATCACTATTCTATTTGATGGATTTGAGATAGCTCTGATCATTTGCTAGAAAGATATTTTCTTGACTCAACAGCTATTTACTGTATGTCTGTTATGTGTCAGGTCTTACAATCAGTCTTAGGGATAAGAAATAAAAACCTCAGTGTTTCTCTACCCTCTTACCCACATTCTTACAATTCAAGGATGTAGACACATAAACAATGGCACCTAAAGTACCACTTGTGCACTCAAGTAGAGGAAATCTGAGAAGTTGTAAAAATGCAGAGAATGGCCCCAGACTCAACCTGGAAGATCTGGGGAGTGCTTCTGGGAAATCTTGAAGGGTTGAGGATGGGGTAGGAGAAGGCATTCTGGTGAGAAGAGGCATCCTAAGCACAGAAGAATCAGCCAATGTGGTGACACAAACCAGAAGGAGCAGGAAGCAGCTTGGCCAGGCCACCATGCTGTGCAGTGGATAAACCTGGGGAGGACTCTTAAATCCAGATTACAAGGGACTCATCTGGCAGACTAAGTGTCTGGATTTTGTTCAGAAGTCCCTCTGGGATCCACGAAAGAAAGGCTTTAAGATTAGGAGTGATACACTCAGATTGATGCCAATAGAACCAAACCTATAAATCTCTGAATTTGAAGACTCAACATTTCTGTTAATGGCTTAAACAACTTTCATTATCTAGACAATTGAATCTTTTTCTTTCCTATTCTTTCCTCCTTTTGATGCTTCTTGGCTAGCATGAGATGAGCTAAATGGATGTGGTCAAGATAGGCACATCTAAGGAGCATTCCACTTCCCTTATTCAAGCTCTTGCAAAACTATTTACATAGACAGGGTTTTGGAGGAAAACTGAATTTTGGTCAAATTCCTGAGTATCAGCAGACTTTCAAAGTAACTAATTGGGACTTATATTAGGATGTCTTTATTCTCCAAGATGGCACTTTGGTTTTGTGCCTTCTGTTTCTTTTTGGTCTTACCATATTTTCTGGCATAATGTGCCTGGTAAGAGAGGGAGCTCAGTTAATACTTGGTGGCTGAGTACATTGACAGATAGAAATCAGAAGTACCATCCATAAACACATTTGTCTATCTGTCTATCCATCCATCCATCTGCCATACATTCTTCCAACCATCCACCTAGCCACCAATACATTCATCAATGCACTTACCCATTCTTCCATCCAATAAACTTGTTTGGGTACATACTATGTGCTGTACCCTGTGTCAAGACCTTTGCTACAAAATATAATCATATGGTTTTCAGGGTTGATGACAGGAGCACAAATAACTACAATAAAGAATACCAAGTGTGAAAATAAAGATACGCACCAACTAAGTTAGTAAAGAGCAACAGGAGTGGACAATCCTGTTGTGATTCCAGGGTTGGAATCTGGAAATAAAGTGGAAGATGTTTGGATTGTGGTGAAAAGAGAGAATAAGGATTGGGTAGAAGGATGACAAAAGGAAGAGAAAAGACTCATTGAACACAGAAAACTGCAAAGACAAAGCAGAGAATGATAAAATTTCATAATGAATTCAAGGAGTCAGAATCAGCTATAGAAAGGTTACAGGGTTCATAGAAGAAGTAGCTTGGAGGATTGTTTTATTCAGCTTTGCATTACTATGACAAATATCTGAGAAAATCAACTTCAGTGAGGAAAGATTCACTTTATTCATAGTTTAAGAGGTTTCAGTCTGTGGTTGGCTGGCTCCATTAGTTTTAAGCTTGTAGTAAAGCAGTCCGTGGTGGCAGAAATACATGGCGGAGAAAGCTGCTCACCTCATGGTGGTCAGAAAGCAAGGAGAAATGAGAGCAAGGAGAGGGGGCCAGGGACAAGATTTAGCCTTCAAGGGTATGTCCCTAAAGACATACTCCCTCCAGTGCAGCCCCACTTTCAAATGTGTCCACTAACTCCAAAGAACATCATTAAAGTAGGACTCCATCAATGAATTAATCCATTGATGGAGTCAGAGGCTTCATGATCCAGTTATCTCCCCAAAGCCCCCCACCCAACACTTCAGCATTTGGTCCAGTCCTTCAACAATGAGACTTTGTGGGACATTCCAGATCCAAACCAAACCAGGGATGCAGTTAGAGACAGAAGCTGCAGGCAGATAAGGAAGTGCTCCATCCACTACACTAAGAAACTTATACTTCGTCTTGCATTCATTGGGGATGGAGGCTGGAACAGCAAGTTTACAAGGTACAGGCAGACACATACATGAGATTTGGGTAGTAACTTCAAGAGAGATATTGAAGGAGGCAGCAGTTGGAGTATAGTGATTGCATAGACAGACAAATTTCTTCAGTGCAACACACAGTTCATGGAATATAAAAATTCAAGGCAAAACTACCACTACCCTTTACCTGAACTAGTAGAAAAATAGTCACCTATTCTCCCTCTGTATCTCTTGTCCCAAGATCATAGTTAGGATGAACAATTCATTGAGGTATTTCTTGACTCCAATGACTCTTGAGCCAAATTTCAATTATCCAACACTTTGAGGCGAATGAAGTTCAGGATAATAACAAAATGTGGGTCAATAAAAGTTTACATGTGTTAAAGGTTTCATTTCCAGGATGGTGTGAATGAAAGCAGTGGAACCTCTAAGAGATGGAGCCTATGGGGAGGTCTTTGGGTCTTTGGGGGCATGCCCAGGAGAGAATAGTGGAACTCCTGCCCCTTCTTCTCTCTCTCTTTTTTACTTTATGGCCATGAAGTAAGTGGTTTTATTCCTCCATGCACTCCCACCAAATGTATTGCCTTGCCACATACCTAAAAAGCAATGAACACATACCTAAAAACCAATTGGAACATTCCAATCTGTGAGCCAAAATAAATCTTTTCTCTTAATAAGTTGGTTATCTTAGGTATTTGCTAAAATGATGGAAAACTGACCAACACAGTTGATCTGGGAACAAGTGTTTTTGTTTTGGCATAGACGCTTGGCCTTGGGGAAAGTTATTCACAGATTACCTTACAGGAACTGAATGTCACCATTGTTTTAATCAAGAGAGTAGCAGGTACTGATCAGTGTCTTTCTTTGGATTTGCCAGTTGAACTTACTTAACTATACTACTTTAATTTCC